GGGGGGAGCTTTGGATTTATAGTTTATTTTGTTATGCTTTTCGGTAGTCTATTAGACTCGGTTGCGCGTCGTTGCTGACGTTGTCATTAAAGACTAACACTACGTGAACGGTGTAATGAACTGTAATGATGTTTAGGTTATTCACTTGAATTTCAAACAGCCGACCTGTGTCGCCGACAACTTTCGGAATCGATCAGATTGCAGTTTGCCTATGTTTACTTTATGGAGGGCGAATAGACGTCTGATAGAGCGTATCCAATGAGACGTCGAATGAAGTCTCTTTGATCTGGTACCCTGACACATTTCAGGGTTTGCAAAGAAACAGCTGTGTCGTCCAACTTTAGTGGCTACTTTCCTACGTGTACACTGCGATATAGACTTTCATCTGTGGAGGAACCATGGTAGCTTGTGCCCGGAATCTTACTAACTGCAACAAATTTGCGAGAATGGGGAGGGGCATGACGGAGGAAGGGCTTATTTTTGGAATCAACATTCTTCGATCTCACTGAGGCTAATGCTTGAATCGTTTTCATCCTCAGAAGATATAGTACAGTAAATTTGAAAACAGGTCAGATTTCTCTGAATACTAATGAGATATTAAACTGTAAGTCGATCAGTTTCCGAACTATTACTTCAATATAGCAAAGTACTCAAAAATAATTCCTTCAACTTCGCTACAGAGAACTTTCACAACATTTTTGTTTATTAAAACTTCCTTATTCTGCACGGTGTTATTTATCCCTTCGAAACCGTTTTACAACATTTTGAGTACCAATGGGAGGAGCAGCGGCATAGTGACATAAGGTTAGCTTGAAAAGTTGGAAGTGTTGAGTTCAAGTACCAACAAAACAGTTCTTCTTAATGGCTACTTCTTTTTGCACGGAATTCTTCCTACTATGCTTCCGAATCACACGTGTCCTCATAGAACAATGTCGGAAACGCGCAGCCAAGTTGTCTGATACGAGTGCTTATTCGAGCTGCAATTTGCGTTGCCCCCCTCCCTCCTTGATAGCGTACTATGTAGCATGATAATCAGCGCATGATGTAAACCGAAAAAAATACTATTTCTCATAAAAGTCTGAAACAGTAAACAGAAATGAACACAATGTCATAAGGCATATATAACAACGGCATCCCCCTCACTCTTCTCGTTTTACATGAATCGGATATTATCGAACATTCTTCGAAGTGACGGGAGCTGCATCTTCATTTTTTCTTAAAGACCTTTGTCATACAGCTGCTTGACTTGCCTTGGTACAGAACAGTGAAGAACAGACATCAGCTTCTGTACATTTTTTATTAATGAAATGATTATCTTACATGATGATAGTTTCCTTTTAAAAAGGCAAATTTAAACTCCCCTACTTTAATGTATTTTTTACGCTCGTTTACTGCTTATGCCTTGGCAACCTTTAAATAAAAGTAAGTTTTGCAGCCACATGTTCGTCTTAAAGTGTGACCACATCATGGCACCTAATTTCTTCTTCCTCGGCAGTGGCAATGGCAACACGAGAAAATAGCAAAGTCGATTGTACGGTGTAAAATGACGTGTCTCGTGGCTGTGTTCCCGGCTCGAAGCAGTTGTCAGGCTTAGTGGCCGCAAACTTGTCACCACATGACAAAGTTCTCTTCTTGTCTCACTGCTGTCGTCAGCCGATGGGGGGGACCTTAACAGGCATGTCAGCAGCACCCGCGAAGAGCGGCAAAACGCCGCTTCTGTTTCGACGTTGATCGGGTGCCTTCGAACTCGGTTTCTGCGCACGCACCAGAAACGGTTCGAAATAAATCCCTGTTTCTCAGATGCATGTCCGCATGGAAAAGGCAGCTGAACTGGCTAACAGCATCAGAGCGTACTGTATTAACCAGATATGCCCGATATTTTTGTCCCGGATAGTGAGAATAAAGGACCTGAACACTTTTCCCACGCTTGTGTCATCATCATGTTTTCAATGTGCTCGTTAAGGCAATACTACTGCATAAGACTAACTCTTCATAAAACCAAATTTTGCGGCATACTGCATCTCTCCACTGCTCCTAGTCGCCAAGGGGGCCATTTAAGCGGGCCAGGGCATTTGAGCAACCGTAGTGTCACGTGCATCTCAACATTTTACTTGTTACAGCCAAATCTCGCTCATTACGAACCATGTTTCAGGACCTGATACTTATCATATGCTACCGCATTAACATCAGAGTATGTTCATACGTCGAAATATGCCACATGTCGCATAACTCCTCCAAAACCGAATCTCGCGGCGTATGATCAAAGGGGTGGCGAAGATTGTGCCTCCGATTCTGGTACCTTTTATATGCTACCTCGTCTTGTTGAAGTGTAGATGAAGATTTAAGACTTCGGTTTGCTTTACACCAGCGAATCTTGAAGACTCCAAGTAAAAGTAAACTTTAAACTGTTTAAAGAGTGATTCGACATGTGATGATATTTTGGAGCGTTAGACGTAAGACTGTGTGTGATGACGCTGCTAAAACTTTTCTCTAATACAATGCGAGTAATTGAGAACTCACTCAAAATTGAGGTCAATGTCACAAAAAATGTCAAAGTACTACAAATTACTTTTTCACCTCCCTTTCTGTGATGTCAGTCCTACAGAGAAACACCAAAAGATTGAGTTCGCATCTGTGAGGTTTGTTTTTTGACTTACCTTTAACAGAATGCAAGCTTCAACTTATTATTGCGTAAGGTCGTTCAGAAGCGTAATTATTATCAGCGATTAGTGCGGCCGCCGTCGTTGCGTGAGCATGGTGTATGAGCCGACAGCCGTCAACGCGCTCGTCTCTTAGGTATATTTTCTTTATGACCTCAAGTAATGACCCTAGCTGTGCTAATTGCTGATTAGCACGTGGTTGTCGTCCAGCTGAGCGTGTCTTTGTCCCGGCTAAATGGCATCTGCCACGAGGAGCATCCTTCGGTCGTAAACGAGTCCAGCATGAATGCGGGTAACACCGCTCATTAACAGTCGACCGCTTTCGGATAACAAGCTCGGTTTTGGACGACGAGCCGGTTTTAATATTCGGCAGCCCGCGGCGCGTTCCGTTTGGACGCGCCAAAGGAGTCATGGCGACTCAATTGATCATTACTGTCGTATTCCTGGATTTTCAGAGCATCACAGTTATGCAAATTATACCTCATTTTGGTAGCTTCAGTAGATCGGTCAGATTATATGACCGTCTGACCTTTCGGATCGCTGAGGCACATGTGTCAGGCAGTGTATCCAACATTTCCAAATCTGTGCCGGCATTTGAGCTTCGGCTCAAAGTTTTCTGAGTCGTTAGCAGAGCCCTTCGAAACACTTTCCCTTCGACATTTCTGGTTTTTCCGGAAAAAAAGGTTTCGAGGCTGAATGAATTAATGTTTTGATGATTGGAGCACTCTCTTTGGTCTTCCTTCGCGAACTGAGTGCTAAAATCGCATTCTCTTTCCACTGGTATCTTCAGTGTAATCTAGTTTCAACTAGGAACACGCCTTGAGCACCTACCGTTAGAGCATTTCGCGGCAAACTTCGTCGATTTCAGTAGCGTTGCTGCTTTATAAGCTTTCTACAGTTTCTGTGACTTAATTTTTTTTAAGATCAATATCCGTGATACGCTGCTGTTCCTGCGATTGCTCGGGATATAGGAGTTGCTCGAAGTACCTTCTCTATTCCTCAATTATGTTATCATCTTTAATAAGAGGACGAGTATACTTGTTCTTCATAACTCCGAGTCTGCCCTTCTGTCTGTCTTGAAGGTGGCGGATGGTCTGCCAGAAATCATTGATTGGTGTCTGAAAATTTGACTCCAGCACTTCACCGAACTTTCTCCAAAACTCGGCTTTCGTTTTGTCCACTGCTTCACAGCGCATCTGAGCTGAAGGCCTTGATTCCAAACCATTTCTTGACTGCAACTATGTTCTCGCTGGCAGCCAATAAAGCCTGTGGAA